TATGTCATTTAAAAGTTCATGGAAATAACTATGGATGATTGTACTCAAAATGAAACAAAAGATTGTTTTTAAATATTTATGGAAAAAAGACATACGCTTAAAACTGACTGTAAAGGCAACAATAAATATTTTAACTATTCATATTAATAAAATAAACAGTTCTGTTTATAAAGTGATTTCTTTTAATCTAGCTAACAATAATTTTGTTATTTGAATAATTTAAGGAGCCATTTACTTATTTATTTTTTTTACTACCTTAACATAAATAGCAATTTACCACTAATAGTTATATAAAATATAAACAATATATATTTATTTCTTAATTACAAAAAATAGTTTAATTGATCGGGGCCAAAAAGGGCAACTAACTAGCTTCGATTGCTAAGTGCTACAGCGAATTCCTAAGCCCCGAACTCGGCTTTTTGGCTTGCCACCTTGTGAAGACCGTGGGGCAACATTAACTGGCCCAACAAGTTCAACAAAAGGCAGCGCAGCACAATGGCCAAGGCCTGAGGTGCAGTCAAATCCAGTCGCAGCATAGGGCCAAGTCCAAACAATGCCACTCGGCTTGTAGAAAAAAACAACAGAGGGAGCACACACAGTATTCAGACCTGCGGACACTGAACTACATTTTCATTGCAAAAAAGAAAAACAACAAAAAAAAAGAAGGAATTAAGCCAAGAAAACTGGCAAAAAAATGAAATCAGGAAGTGTATTATATAATTTTATAGATACTAAACTCAACTTTGACACAAATCGGCTGAGTGCGGTCTGTAAACATGACATTTGCTGTACACGAATCCAGCCAGGAGCCGCAACAACTTGGCCAAAAGGCCTGTGATGCTGCTGCCTCGTTTGGACCGCTTCTTTAGAGGATCTGGAGAGCTTTACTTGGGTGATGCTTATCGCAAAACGTTCAATTATTTTATTTGGTGCAGATGTGGCCGGCGATAAAAGTGCCCGATAGCAACGGCATCGACATCGACATCGCCGATGGACCGCAACTTCTCGGGTTCAGTAGCAGCAGGAACGGACCAACTTAAGGCCGCACTTGGGAGCTAAAGCTGGAGCTGGAGCTGAAACTGAGGCCAAGCCTGGCCCTGCTTTGTATATGAGGTTCAATTAAAATCAGTAGAGGCCAGCGGAAAAAGCAGCTAAATAATTGACACAAGAAAGCAAAGCCGCAAATTTGCCGATCCGCAGGCAGCAGCAGGAGTACCAGAACAGCAGGAAAAAATGTGTCATTCGATAAATGTCTATGTTGATGGTCAGCCTCATAAAATGGTCTGAGCTAAAGGCCACAAATCGAAGGAAAAGCGACACAAAACTAGGGAAATAGAAAAGAAAGACGGTTTAGCTTGGGAGAAATGGTCTTAAATATGCCAAACACCATATAAATGTCTGTATATTGCACATGGGCCTTAAGGTCAGGTTTAACATTATTTATTTATTAAAATACATTTGTTCTTTTAAATTACATTTTATTTTATGGGAATTGAACTTAAAAAAGGACTTCACAATAAATCACATGGGCTTATATTTGAAATTGTGAAAATTTTTTTTTAATTTTACTTAAAATTTGGTATTAATTAAAAATTTCAAATTCACCTAAAATTTTATATTAATTTCACTTCAAATGTGATTTAATTAATGTTTCACAGTTTTCAGTTTACTTTGCAGCTACATTTATAGTTCTGTATTTAATTCCATTCTCTTATCGAATTGACATTTTAAAATCTCAAAAAATTGTTTAGGAATAAAGTTGTTTTTTCTTAAAAACAAAGACTTTAAAAAAAAAATTAATGCTCTTCACTTCTAGTTTGATTAATAGCTTGCCGATAATGTAGTAGGGTATGCAAAATTTAATAGAGGTATTGAGATGGGATCCTCAAAAGAAATATATTTTTGCATATATTTGAAATGCTTTACGTGTTTTTTCTTTAACTTTTCACCCGAATGGTTAAAGGCCATAAATTGTGAACCTTTTACTTGGAATGTATGTAATGCTATGGCTAGACTTTATATGCCAATAAAGGTTAAATTTGAAGAGATTGTTTACAACTTAACTCATTCATCACCTTTCTAAATTAGAACTAAGGCTTACGATGCTATAACACAAATATTGGGCGTTTAAAGACAAAATTCCAGCTAAAGCCACAATAAACGAGGCTGTTTACTAGATGTTTGCTGCAGTTGTTGGCAAAAGTTACAATTAAAATTGTTGGAGCGCAGAGAAGTGCTGACCAGAAGCCAACTGAAACCCGGTCCAAGTGCCAGCGGAAGTTGTGGGCAGTGCTGGCAATTCGTTTGCTATTGTTGGTCGGTTCTTGCAATTAAAATTATTCCGTTTGAGCTATTGATGAAGGCCCCCGAAAGAGGGCCCAAAGTTGGCAGCGGCCAATGCGGAAGCGGAAAGTGGGCCATTATGCGAGTGGAGCGGCAGCTCGATTTAGTTATCTGACAGGGCCAGAACTGAACCAAAACCGACCGATTGTGGCTTAAAGTTGTGCCATAGAGTGTGCCATATCAACTCGAAGTCCTTCTCCGGTTGTGGCGACACTAACTGGAACAAAAAAAAAAAAAACAAGAAAGGAAAGCTAACTTCGGGCGGAGCCGAAGTTGAAATACCCTTGCAGAATATTCTGCAAATTATATTCTCCAAAATTATTCATATGATGCATTCTTAATACTCATAAAAAATCCAAACTTCCTAACTTTAAAAACACCAAAGTTATGGCATTTCCAATCGTTCAGTTATGTATATGGCAGCTATAGAATATAGTCGGCCGATCCTTATGAAATTTGATATGTCGGATTGATTGGGCAAAAATAAAACCCATAGAAAATCCCAACTTCCTAACTTAACAAACACTAAAGTTATGGCATTTCCGATCAATCAGTTATATGGCAGCTATAAGATATAGTCGTCCGATCCTTATGAAATTTAATAGGTCGGATTAATTGGTCAAATATAAAACCCATAGAAAATCCCAGCTTCCTAACTTTACAAACACCAAAGTTATGGCATTTCCGATCAATCAGTTATATAGCAGCTATAGGATATAGTCGGCCGATCCTTATGAAATTTGGTACGTCGGATTGATTGGCCAAATATAATACCCATAGAGAGTCCCAACTTCCTAACTTAACAAACAGCAGAGTTATGGCATTTCCGATCAATCAGTTATATGGCAGCTATAGGATATAGTCGGCCGATCCCGGCCGTTCCGACTTATATACTGCGTGCAAAGGAAAGAAGGGTGTGTGCAAAGTTTCAATTCGATATCTTTAAAACTGAGAGACTAGTTCGCGTAGAAACAGACAGACGGACAGACAGACGGACAGACGGACAGACGGACAGACGGACAGACGGACAGACGGACAGACGGACAGACGGACATGGCTATATCAACTCAGGAGGTGATCCTGATCAAGAATATATATACTTTATAGGGTCGGAGATGTCTCCTTCACTGCGTTGCACACTTTTGACCAAAATTATAATACCCTCTGCAAGGGTATAAAAAAAAGGAATCCATGTGGATGGAACCGCAGCAAGTTGGAGTGCCAATGGTTTTTTAATTCTCACTCTGTCCCGAAACTTTGCACGCGGAACGACCGAATCAAATCAAATTCGCAATCAAATGCAAATTGCCATTAGATTAGTTTATTTGTGGCAGCAACCCGAGACACGCGGAATCCATCCTGTCATCTGTCGTGGAGCAGAAGCAGTGACAGGTTGTACCGCAACTGAAAGGGAATTATATTCGCCCTTACTTTGAGGTGGAAATAAAAGAAATAAAAGGGCAACGCAGTTAATAACAAAGTGACGGAATATGCGACAGCAGCTGTCGCACTGGCAAACAGCTTTCGAATGCCAAAAGGTATGCCGGCACTGCCAGCAGTCATGTCACACTCACCAAGGAGTCACTACCTCGGGCGCTCTTGAATTGAGTCTGATCAAATTAGAGTCTTTGAGGGTGGATGGCGGTGTGTTTGAGTGACGCCCCGGCTTGGATGTGGGCGTAGATGTGGGCGTGGTTGGGTGGGCAAGGGGCCAGGGGGCGTGGCTGTGGGTGTCCAACAATCTAAGTGAGTTCTAACGTTTCATCCTCCATTCCGGTGGATTAGCTAATATAAAATAAAAATGTATCAAGTTCTGGGGCTTAAACGGATTTAATATGTAAAAGCTTTGCTGACTTTGCCAAGAAACTAGCAAATAAGAAAGTCACCCTTAAGCTATTGAGTAACGATAAAATATATATATTTGTATTTTCATCCAATAAAAACCTTCTGTATAGTTTGCTTAGAAATTTGTTATAAAAGGGATATTCCAAAAATAAAAGTTCCATGTGATTAAAAGACAAAAAATAATAAATATACATATGTTAATATTTTTAAAACATTTTTAAAAGTAAAAACTTCCACATAATTTTATACAACCACCAAAAAAGCTGATGAAATTAAGAAATAAAGCTGTCTAAATCTTAAACTTGTTGGCTGATTTTCACAATATTACGCTTTCTTCTTAAAGCTTAAAGCTTACTTGTGAAATTGCTGATTGGATTTCATTTTTAGATCTCTTCGATCGAATTGATAAGTTTTGGTAAAATAAATTATATGGATTTTTTGTTGCTGGTCGTCAAACACTTTATGGGCTAGAAATTGTATTGGGTAGGTAGCATTCAATAAAAAGCACATTCTACAGGCAAACAAACTATAAAAAAATTAATTTTATATGGTGATTTATTGTATTACTGTGTGATCCAAGAATGCTTTTTTACATATTTTTATATTTTAATGCCCTTTTTGCATACAATTGTTATAGAGTTATCCGGCTATTTCATTAATACAAATTCTTAGTTCTTGTGGTAGAAGTTTCACTGCACGCTTATCGCGACAAACAGAAACTGTTTGTTTATTTTGTTCTTCTAATCGCTGAGTTGCGAGCTTTTTCCCTGACCGAGGGCAATTTATTACCGCACCAGGTACAAATAGAGCGCATTGGCAGAAGCTCCAACCAGACGTATTTTGAATTTCGTGGCGAATGCAGATCGGCTCGTAAAAGAGAATGATTTTGGTAACATTAGCTTTGGGCCTTATTTTGGCCGGTCTGCTCTATTTGACCATGACCTGGAACTTCAACTACTGGCGAAAACGAAAAGTGCCGGGACCCAAACCCAAACTCTTCACCGGCAATTATCCCAATCTATTTAAAATGGAACGCAATATGATCTACGACTTGAACGACATCTACGAGTGAGAAGAACTACACTTTCTTTCAAGCAACAGTGTCTTATTTTGGTATTTTGTGTCTGTTTAGAAAGTACAAAAACAAGTTCGATGCGGTGGGCATCTTCAGCGGACGGGTTCCCCAACTTCTGGTGACTAGTCCAGACCTGGCGCATCGCGTTTTAGTTTCGAACTTCAAAAACTTCCATGACAACGAGTTATCCAAATTTGCGGACGAAAAAACCAACTTCATCCTGTCCAATAATCCATTCTTTATAGCCGGCGAAAAGTGGAAGCAACGGCGGGCTGATATCACTCCAGGTCTGACCAATGGTCGGGTAAGTTGAGTTATAAATCGATAAATGTCAGTACTCTATACCACATTATAAGCCAACAGATAAAAACGGTCTATCCAGTGACGAACAAGGTGTGCCAGAAAATGACCGAGTGGGTGAAAAGGCAAATTCGCTTGGGTGCAGTCGATGGGATTAATGCCAAGGATGTAAGTACATATTAATAGTTTTATAGGAAAACATTTACTCTAGTAAATCTAAAAGATAGAAAGTCCAATTAAATATTTTTTGTATCCCAACAGTTGAGTCTGTGTTTCACCTCCGAAATGGTCACAGATTGCGTGCTGGGCTTGAGTGCCGATAGTTTTACGGACAAACCTACTCCCATTTTGGCCAACATAAAGGATCTGTTCAATCCTCCCTGGACCTTCTCGATGCTCTTCGCCCTGGTCAGCACCTTTCCCTCTCTAAGTAATTTGGTCAAACTGCGTTTTATACCGCAACATGTGGAGCGTTTTTTCATCGACCTAATGGGCACAGCAGTTCAGACTCGAAAATCCCAACTGGCAACTGGACAATTCCAGCGCAGCGACTTTCTGGATTACCTAATGCAACTGGGAGAGAAGAGGAACCTGGACATTCCGCACCTGTTGGGAAACACCATGATCTTCCTTTTGGATGGTTTCGAGACAATTGCTGGTGTTCTTTCGCACATGCTGTTGCTTTTGGGCCGTGATGAAGTGGTGCAGCAGCGATTACGGGAGGAGATCCAGGCACATCTACAAGATGGAATCATACCTTACGATAAACTCAACGAGTTACCTTATCTGGATGCCTGCATGCATGGTAAGAAATATTAAATATAACTTCCACAAAAATCAAATTGATACAATAATTTCAAACATCATTATCTTGGTTGAACAATTCGATATATGTATTCACTTCACTCACTCAAGATTAATTATAAACTTACAGAATCAATCCGATTATTCCCACCCGGTTTTATGACCTCCAAACTTTGCACCGAATCCGTGGAGCTTCCCAACAGAGATGGCCCCAATTTCACCGTGGAAAAGGGCACCGTGGTTGTTATACCTCACTACTGCTACATGAACGACGAGGAAAACTTCCCGAATCCGTTGGAGTATAACCCTGAACGCTTCATGGATCCCGATGTATCCAAAAACTTACGCGAGCGTGGTGTCTACATGGGATTTGGAGATGGTCCACGTGTTTGCCTAGGTAAATACAAATTAAATTTGTTTAATAACGATAATAGTTCTCATTGTGTTTAATAGGTATGCGCTTTGCAACATCACAAGTTAAGGCTTCTATTGTGGAGCTGATTACCAAATTCAACATCAAAGTCAATCCAAAGACCCGCAAGGACAACTTGTATAACCCAACCTTGTTCGTACCTAATCTAAATGGTGGTATTTGGTTGGATATGGAGGTTCGTCAATAAGTACGTTAACTATTATTGATAAATAAGTGCTAATAAACACTTCACTATCAAATGTGTTTAGCACGCATTTTGCATTTAATGCGATTGCTATGATAAAACCAAATAAAATAGGAACAAAAGAAATTGACCAAAGAATAAATTTAATTATTTAAAAAAATTGTACATAAAATTGGTAGCTTAACAAATTAGTGTATTTTTAGGATTTTAAATTTCAATTACAAATTTTAAACTATAAATCCAAGTAATTTCATTTTTTAAACCATGAAGGAAAACCAAAAAATAAAGTAAATAAATTAGAACATAAGTCTTAGGTATTTTATAATACACTTTTTTGTTCAGCCACCCGATTTGTAGTTCTTGAAATACTTACCATCAAAAATGTTTACCTGAATCATCTAATATTAGATTAACTTTAGTTTAATATTGGTTACAAAATTGGCTTAGCCCCTAAAAGTATCTGAATATGCCCCAGTTTGCACTTCGATTGCCGCACATCTTTTTGCTGCTGTTGGCGCTTAAGAAGCTGAGTCTTCTTTCGTCAGCCACCCACATTGACAGTTTTTCAATTGTTTGCATTACATTTTAGCCACATTTATGCAGAGATTCCAGAAGGGAAGGAGATGAGAAGGATTTGGATCTGGGTCTGTGGGCACGGGCACCCAATGCTGCCAGTTGCCATTCTACTGGAGCTAAAGCTCGTATTTTCTGGCTGGTACCCGCCTGTGTGTGTTATGCTTTACTTTTACTTCGGTGCACACAAAAGGCCATGGAAAACTGTCATTGGCAAAATCTAAACAATAAGTTTGTTATTTTTGAGCAGAGCCAACGAACCGAAAGAGGCCCTCTGCCACTTTACTCCTCGAAGTGTCCTTCCCATAACGATAATAACGATACAGCACCCTTAGAGGTTAAGCAATTTCCCTAGACTTCGGTTGACACAATTTCCACTTTTCCCATCGCTTTTGTGAGTTCCTCTGACGCAGACTTAATTGATTTCAAAGTTCCATTTTAAAGCAAACTTCCAGGCGAGCAGTTAATAGTGCTAATATCTGCAATTGTTTTCCTAATATGCGTTATTATTTGCAGAAACTGCAAACGTTCGCCATAACCAATTTCGAATAATTCTTCCACAATTTCCCATTTTCCATGCTCTGTGAAAACCAGTAGCTCTAAATACCAACCAGCTTCAGGATAGCATGCAAATTTACATATTTGACAGCCGTGTCATGGTCAGAAGTGGAATAGTTTTCATTTTTCCTGGCTTTGACATTTTGGCCAACACTTTTTGTACAAATATTTTGACAATTTGACTGGCAGTTGATTTGGTTGGCATTCAAAATTATGGCCAAAAATTTCACACTGCACATGTGAAGCAATTAAATTGAAATTGTTTTTCATTTGCTTTATTAGATAATTAAAATAGTTTATTAAAGAGCTATAACTATGCAGGGTGTTTTTAGTTTAACAGGTGAGCTAGCTAAATTATTGTGTACGAATTTGTGCCGTGGAACATGGTGAATTAAGCATCAAAATTAAAGGCAATTAAGAAATTGTTCAATACTTAGGTCTTTTAAACCTATTGTCTATTGAAGATAGTTATTTTGCTAGTATATTTACTACACAAATCTACTATCCCAGCTCGAATGGAATTTAATACTGTTCGGTTATTGCAGCAATAAAGAAAACAATTACCAAAAAAAAGTTGACAGCCATATTTAGTGCTCCTTGTTCATTTGCCGACATTCCCATTGACCTTTTCCTTCTATCGACTTGGCAAAAATTCCGCACTCCCTCTTTGTATTTGACAACTACAATGGTTTTATTGGGACACCGTACTAAATTTATGCAACTCAATGTGTGCGGTGCCAAATTATGTACACTTCATTTCGTGTACAATAACGAAGGAAAAACACACGCCATATATTTCGCACTTTCCCCGTGAAGGAAACTCACATCAGGTGCAGACTGCCGCCTGTTGACCCGAACTTGGGGGTCAGTTTATTGTTTACCTACAGCAGCAATAATGGCAAAAACTGTGGACGTGCCAATAGCTACGGGGGGATATATCCTTGGAGTCGGTTTGGTCTTATGTGAATACATAAACACATGCGAACTCGACAAATTCGACACAAATGTGAAAATGCGACAAGATTTATGCCAAAGTAATAAATATAAATGCGGTTTTGAGTAGAAAATAGAAACATAGGAGCATTTGGCGCACACAAAGGTGCGTTTACATCGAAGTAAAGGGAGGGGTATACATTGTATACCTATTCCTTATATATATTTATACATGTATTTGGACGGACTGGGGCAGTAAATCATTGCGGTTGGCCTGGCAATTTATCGTACCGCCCCCATCCATCTGGCCATATGTTACACGAGTGTAAATATTGAAATAACTTAAGGAAGTCGGCTAGGAATTCCTTGACTGGCCGACTGGTCGTGTGGACATCGAGGCGCCCCAATAAATCACACGAAAAAGAGCATTGAACGAAGTACCACCGGGCGCATACGTAATCTATTTGAAAATGGCATTGGCAAACAAATGCCACTCCAGCTACCCTGCGTTTGGGTGAAACGCAATTTTTATATTTTTTGGCTTACCAATCAGAAGCTCCACTCCCGTTTTCCACAACTTTGGGCAAAGGCGGACTTGCAAAAATATGCAAAATTTGCAGCTTTTCCGAATTTATGGTTATTTGTGTTGCACTCTTAATGCTATTGAACTTGCACTTAACAAATGGCATGGAGCCCAGTCCGATTCGCCCGCTTCAGATTCGCCCAGTTGCACTCCATTTAGCCGATGAAATAAACGTTGCCTCCACTTCCTTTCCGCACTATCATCCTTTTCCTTTTTTTGTGTTTTTGGCTGTCTTTCAAAACATTTTAGTTACATTTTGAATATTACATTTCAATATGCGTTTCTGATATGTGTCTGCAAATTGGAAAGCAAAAACAACCCAACTGCTTTGTGTATATATATGTATGTATTTACTTTGAAGTCAACGACTGTTGATGGTCAATGCTTAGGTCAGCTTTAATGCAGAATTAAATAAAATGCCAGAGGTATATCACTTTAAATGTATACTTAACTTAATTATTTAGATTTAAGCATTGAAAAGTTAATTTGGAACACGTAAATGTTATATTAACTATGGGAATTTAATATCGGATATTAAGAACTTTGGTTACATATATTTAAATGTTTTTCTTCCTTTTGCTCAGAAAAAAATAATAGAAGCCCAAACGATTCTTATTTTTAAGACAATATTAAACAAAGCATTAGTATATGACTAAAATCTAGTATCTGACTAAAACCAGTCCGTCTCCAGTTTCAGGAAAACTGGTTTTGAACTATGTATTTTTCCTCCTCGTTAAAAAGTGTGTAATACGATTTTAACCTGACAAATTGGAGTGTCCCTTTTTACTAATGTAACTATTTATTTTCATATTACTTTTTGTTATTTGCACCAAAAAGTAATGAATTTGGTCCCCACAAATACCCACAATTTTCTGTCCCAAATTTAGCTATACTCAATATGATAGCAAACATCATACACAATTTTGGATAATGAATTAGTATGCGTAGGTAACCGAAATCAGAGCTACTTTTTTTCTTATACTGCATATTTGTTCGCCTCTTTGAAATGATGTCCCAACCCATCACCCCGCTAATTAAAATCCATATGCGCCAGATAACTGACAATAATTAGCACACAAGCGCGTGCAAACAAACACACAATTAAAAGTGCATAAATATGCAAGAATTGTGCATGTTGGCAAAGGTCTTGCCATAACCCAACCGAACCCAAGCCCCCAGCCCCAACTGGGTATAAAAACTAAAGGCATTATAATGTCAGGCTGGCTTTTATGCACACGTCAGGCTAATCGCTAGCACAAACACACCTCCATAAAGGAGGGATCCTAAGACCCCATCCTAATGCCCCCCATCCCATCCCAACCCATTCCATTCCATTCCACTGTGCTTGTGCAGGGCAAATAGAGCGAAACCATAATTGTTGTACTTGGCAACTTGAGTTCTCTCCTCGCTTTTTGTGTCGTAGTCAGCAGCCGCCGTTGGGGCCATGAAATATGAATAATGTCAGTGGCAGGCTCAGTTGGCAAAAGCCGAGGATGGAGCTGCTGCATGTGCTCGACAGTTTGATGTGCGTAGTATTTGCTAAACCCATTTAATGAACCACCCCCCTCCTGCCTCACTAATTTAGCTTAATTCGCTGCCAGCGGGGTGGCCCTTCCAGAGGGGGATGATAGTTTGACTTGGCCAAGGTTTGGGTATTATTTTTAATGAAATGCGGCGGGAGTCACTTTCACGGGCTCGTAACTGCAAATTGGTCGTACTTTTCAGCCAACATCTCGGGTGACACGGCGAAACGAGGATGAACAGGAAGAGGTATTTGCATTTCAGCCCTGACAATTAAATATTTGTGAAGCCACGTGATGGTAATTAAAATGCGTAGTCGAGTAAAGATGGCTTAGGCTGTGTGGTCGACAACCTGTTCTGGGATGATAAAAGGATTGGCAAATGTCAGGGATAATCATTAAAATTTTATGAGAATGCATTAAAGAAAAGTCGACTCGGAAATGAGAGACAAAGACATTCACTAATTGCCCTACTTCCAAAGTATAACTGAGTTTAAGAAGGTTCTCTTAGTTATTGCTACTTAATAACACTTGAAGCGTTTACTTTCATAAAGATTTAATGTGATAAAAAAAGTACATTTATACTTCCAACCAATGAGACAAATAAAAGGACTTTTTATATATTTGATAAGTTATATTCTTTTAATATTGAATTAGTAAGTCGCATGTAACATAGTTTTTCCTATGGAAAGCTGTAGAATCGAATATTTGTTTTTTCTCCGTATGCAATTAAATGTAGCATGTTCCATTGGGGCCATTCAGGCCAGGATGTCCAAGGTCCAACATCCTGTCACGAAATGTCAGTCAACGTGACCGGCTCCTGCTGCACCACCGGGAACCACATGTCAACGCTGATGCAAAAATTGTCAAGGGCGATTCTTTGGTTAACACAATGGGTGGTGTAAATATACACAATACATTATGCAAATTGCATATTAAGCAGCGAGCTGCGTTTTAATTATATTTATAGGCTAGCACGCCCCATTTTCGCCA